TTATAAAATTTCATATTATTTACTTAATTTGTTTCATGTAACTCGTGTTAATTTTATGACTTTCATGTAACTAAAACACGTTGTGACGTATGGATACTTTCAATGAACACTACGCCAACTTAATTTCAACTTAGATTTAAAATTTACAACGCTAAAAATAAACAAAGCTGTTTACAAAAATCAGCGGAATAATCAAAAAATAAAGTTGGCATAGCGTTCATTGGAGGTATGATCACATACAATAAAGTGGCTTTATTGTATGTGATCGTACTGGATGCGGACAGCACAGGTCCGGGAGAGTTGGCGTGCCCAAAAGGGGAGGATTATAGTCCAGCAGTGGATGTGATTGACGAATTAAACATCGAAAGATCGTGTTTATAACATTAAATAAACTGTTATGAATTCTACTAAACATGATTCTGAAACTTACTGTGGAACACATTTGAGTTTCTTATGAGTCCTTATTTCTCTGAAACCGTGTTGGAACTTTTCTCTATCGTACACTGGTTTTGAGATGCTGTGAGGTATACGCCATTCTTCAATTTTCGGCTTTGGTCTTCTAATCTTTAACGTAATAATTATGTGTAAGTTTTTTTTTATAATTTCACAGTATCTATATCTAATAAGAATGGTTGTAGTTGTTTCATATAAGTATTTAAAATTTTTTTGATGAGGTACTTTGGTATTTCTTTTACAGTTTATTAACTGGGTGATGTTCTGCATATGTATTATGTTGACTCATAGGGTCGTATTCCAGAACTCTACACAATACTTAAGTCAGGACATGAGTATTGCAGTGAGCACTGAAAATCATACTCAAGTCCTTGCCATTAGGGTCGTATTCCCAGTGCTTCAAATCATACTCAAGTCTGCTCAAATCCTGACTTGAGCGTTGAGTAGTGTTCTGGAATACGACCCACAGAATGGTAGTTCCGGGATATTGAAAATTAACAATTTTAAATTTTAGATTGGCATCTAAGGCAACGACAAGATTGTTAAAGGTAAGGTTCGAGTCTTCTCAGATCGAATATTTTTTTTTGTGTTTGATCTTTGTATTAATTAAACTCTTTAAGTATATTGATTGTCTGGATGTTTTACTTCATGAATTATTTTTTGTGAAATTACTTCATCAGTTTGTTGTAATTATTAGTACAAAGATCGAACACTTAGAAAAAAATCCTTCGATCCGGTTGGATTCGAACCAACGTCTTCTAGCAAACCGTGACAGACACTATTCCAACTAAGCCACGGAACGAACCAGTGGACCTAACGAATCTTATCATTACTTTATTATATTGTAATATAAATTCAAATAAATAATAATTATACAAAAAAAAAGATTTGCAATGATGTAAATCTTACTATAGGACAATAACAATAATAACGCTCACGCTCAACATAGCCCCGCACTAGGGAAACCCTGTGTTGCGGGTGCCATGGACACACACATAGACAACCACAAATTACACCCAAACTCACGAGAGAAATAAATGTAGGCCATACAAATATTTCTCCCGGCCCGGGAATCGAACCTGGGACCTCTGCGTGGCAGTCCGGCATGGTAATCGTTCGACCACGGAGGCAGATTATGAGACAATTAAGATAAAGTACAACGGTAGTAAATTCCAAAATTGGTTTTACAAAACTAACTTTACAAAATGCGTGAGACCTACCCTGGGAACATCAGCGTAAGTATAATAAGTGACCACGTCATTAGTCACCGAAGGTCTAGCGAGCTGATCGGCTGTGTAGGGACGGTGATGAAGCCGACTCGTAGTTAAGTAAGGGTCCAGTAACTTTTCAAATCCTTCGTGTGTTGTGTCTATGGGTTCTAGCTCCTTATGGAAACGTGGCTCTATCGCAGGCTGTAAAAGGTAAATAATCAAAACAGTTTCACTGAATATACCTATGGTTATAAAGCATTTTTTTTTCTATCGTTATACCAAGTGACAGGACGAAAAAGTCATTCGCCTGGTGGTAAGCGACACGCCCGTCCATAACTGTTGCAGAGCCACTCAGAGCTTCCAATCACAAAGATCTGTGAGATACTGCCACTGCGCCCCTAACCCTGACACATAAGTAGATTTGCTCGATGTTCGAGTGACGTCAAAATCACCATCTTCAGGGCATTTTGTACGTTCTTCTATACTAGTAGTCTGTGGATGAAAGATAAGTTAAAACAGTACAACGTGCTACGTGTCCAGTACAATAATGCATTTAGGGTGCTTTTGGGGCTGCCTCGCTTCTGCAGGGCATCGGGGATGTTTGCTGAAGCGCGCGTAGATTGCTTCCATGCAATCATGCGCAAGCGGTGCACAATTTTGTTTTAATTATGTTATTATTTATTTTAATTTTGTACTCAATTTTATTTTTGAGTTTAACTGTATTAAATCTTTGTAATGTATGATCCACGTTGGTCGAAATAAATGATTTATTATTTATTATTATTATAAGTAGACAATTCCCATGCGCCTGTAATTTCACACGCACCCTTACCCTCTAAAACCGGAACCTAGTAATTCTCACATTAAATCTTGGCGGCAGAAATAGATAAGGTAAGCAGTACTTCCCTGGATGAACTCTTTCACAAAAAGCGCTACTGCTACAAAAAGGAAAAATGAGAGCTGTTAGAAGAGAAAGGTTTTTTTGCAAAAGATTTCGCACACGTAAATACTGCTACCATATCTATTTCTGCCGCCAAGCAGTAACGTGAGCGTTACTGAGTTCCGGTTTGGAAGAGTATAAGGTTGCTGGTGAAACTACAGGCACATGGGACTGATCAACATTACGTCACAGGGAATCGGGCGCAGTGGTTGTGCTCCTCAGATCTCTGCTATTTAAAGCTCTGAGTGGCATTGAAATTGTTATGGGCAGGTGTATTGTTTAATCACCTTGCTCGTTCCGTCATTGATAATCATAAAAAGAATTTCCTCTGAATAATAAAATAGCATATATAGGTCAACAAAATGCGTAAGGGAAGAAAGAATCCACATTGCTTTATAGGATAATTGTTCAAATTTATAGGAAATGAAACTATTTTTCCGGATTTGGTCACGGTTGACCATGACATGGTCATGGGACCTGTAAAGGGCCCGACACGTCGGTTTGTTTGAAAAAACAAATATACGCGATTTAAATCCGGAAAAATAGTTTCATTTCCTATGTGTAACAATCGCGAAAACCTAAGAACTCGATATGTTCAAATTTAGTTCTCATCGGTCTCAGTTATAAAGTTAATAACAACTTACTGGATCATGAGGCAAGCTTGCTGGATGTTTGTACTGATCCTTATCTGTGACCAATCTTGCTGGTGTGGTTGGTACAGTGTAGGCACTTTTCATTTCAGTGGTTCCATGAGCTGTACATTGTGGAGGTCTGTCTGCAAGCTAATTCATTGTTGTTTTTATCCGAGAACATTAAAGTCAGAGGGTAAGTAATGTGTTTAACTCTGATGTTTGTTATGCGATACTTAAAACACTTTTTACACTCAGATGTAATAAAAAGTGTGAAAATGGCATATTTTGACTAGGATTACTTTTTTATTTAAATTTATTTAATTTCATAGCTCACTGGATAAGACGCAACAAATGTGTAAGTCCAGACGTGTAAAGTATAAGGGTTAGTGCAAACTGGCGGATAGCGGGGGAGAGCATCGAAGCGAATCTTACGCTCGCGCATCTTATGACATCCTTTACGATACCGAAAGCGCCCCGCAGGCAGACTGCGGCTCAAAACCACCTCCCGCTTCGGTATCCTCTAGTATGCTCTTCAAAGCCGTAGAGAGAAATGCGCTGCGATTATCCGAGGTCAGTCTCCGAGTATTGAAATTTATACATTGTAATAGCATAAAAGGGACAATGATTAATTTAACATCCTTTGCTTTACCGTTCCGGTTTGCGTTGACTTTTAGGGAGTCACCACATTAAACAACGCGGAATCGGCTTGAGCCGGTCAGAATAAGCTTTATGTGTGCTTTTCATGTGTGTCTAGTGGCGTCGTCTGTCCTTGACAAAATCTTTTTCTTATAGGTGGGTGATAAATAAAGTCACGATGAAAAAATTGCAGTGATCAGCGATCAAATAATATCACCGTGACGTTTTACGAAGGAACGAGACGTTCCAAAATCACATAGGTCACATGACGACATACGCATACGTCGTACTTTTCAAACAAAATAATATCGCGATCAGAGACTGGCGAACTACGCCGCAATGTAGTCAGCTTTTGTTTTTAAATTCTAATTATGAACCAAGAAATAAATAGACCAGTGTAAATACTGTGTAAATACAAAAAATTAAGATAATTGTACAAAATCGATCCAAAATAATAAACACGCCGCATGGTCTTATGAACGAATCGCATTATTTGTAACAAGCCTGTAAAATTATGAAGGTTATTGAGAATCAATTTTTCAAATGGAATTAAATGTTACATCAAAGTTTGTAACTAAGCAAATAACGACTAATGCCAAAACCGTATATCGAGATGTAACAGGCGTGACAAAATGAAATGTAACTCTTTTCCTCATATCTACATTTTCTCTCTTATTGCATGGATATAAGTTTTTTCTGAGCGGCCCAAGCAGATTCCCCAAGTGTGATAACTCCTTTAGTCTGTAAGTTCCTACAAAATCGTCCGTGAATAATTCAATATTATGAATCATAATATTGGGCACATACAGTGAACGTATCAAAGTAAACATATTAAGGAAACTATGGGTATTTGAATTATGCATTCCCTATTATGTTATAACAAATTCAGAATAGCAAATGCTGCAATGTATGTAAAGTAATTAAAAGTAGCTGTGTGCTGCTCAAAATAAGGTGGCATTACAAAAGGACATGAATCGTATCAGTCATGCTTAAAACGATCCTATTGAAATTGACGTTAGGTTTGCATTTACATGTGTTATTCTTTGCATACCTATCGTACCGAAATCGTAACGATAAATCCGCGGGTAATAGGTTCCAAATACGAACACGTACCAATAGACCTGAAAAGTATTACAAACGAAGAGAGGTTTGATAACCGAGTAAAACTCCTTTTATTGGATAATTAATTAATTGTACAGTGTAGAGGAAGTGTGCCTTTGGAAATATGATTCTTTATACGTAATCACAGTAACTTTTTTACCAAAATATCCAATGTACACTCCGTTAACGTAAGGAACAAGGACCATTATGTCGTCCCTGTAATAAAAAGTACGATCTTTGACCACAGCACTTACGTGACGGCAATCAGAATTTATAGCAGAAACTAATAAACACTTAAACGGTAATCAATTCAAAATGGCTAAATGACAACTAAGTGAATTTTATAAAGTGACATCAAATATTTGACAAATGTGCGTTATGTTTAATTTATACATAGGGCGCACTATAAGTTTGCCACTTACATAAACAATATTTAAGTAATTAATTAATTTGTAGAATACAGTTTGTTTCATCTGACTGTCACTTGTTTTTACATTGTGGCGTCATTTTAGAAATTGGTTGTCTACATCACCATGGATTTAACTCGTGAAAATTTTCGTAGTATGATTTTCTACGATTTTAAGTGTAATTTAACAGCTCAGCGGAGCTTCACTCGGCTTCAAATGCTTTTGGCGATGATGCACCAAACAAGACGACTATTTATAGCTGATTTGCGTAATTCAAACGCGGTCGTGTGAATCTCAGTGATTAATTTCGTGATGGTCGCCAGTCCACTGCTGTGAGCAACAAAAACATCGATGCTGTGTGCCGTATGATCAAAACAGACAGGCATGTGACATACCATGAGATTCGGACATCTTTAGGCATAGGCACGAGTCAAATACAGTTAATACTACACAAACATTTGGATGTGAAAAAGCTCTCGGTGGATCCCACACAATTTGACTGAGGCTCAAAAAACGGATCGCTTCACTTGTTGCAATGCCATGCTTACCAGATTCAGCAAAGGGGCGTCAAATTTGGTGTGAGATATAGTAATAAGTGACGAAACATGGATTTATAGTTACAACCCCAAAACAAAGCAGCAATCGAGCGTTTGGGTCTTTCGAGATGAGCCGAAACCAACCAAAGTAGCGCGCGTGCAAAGTGCCTCTTAGCGGATGATTGCTTCTTTTTATTATAAAACTGGACACGTGGCTACTGTTGCTTTGGAGAATCGTTGTACCGTGAATAGTGATTGGTACACGACAATTTGTTTGACGGAAGTTATTGACAAACTCCGTAAAAATAACCGTAAACGCCGTATCATCTTGCACCACGATAATGCCAGTTCTCACACGGCCAGACAGACAAATGAATTTTTGAAGGTGAACAACGTTGCCCTTATGAGCTATCCCGCGTACAGTCCCGACCTGGCACCTTGTGACTTTTATTTCTTTCCAAAAACTACGAACCAGTTACGCGGTCAACGATTTTCATCAACTGAAGAAGCTGTCGAAGAGTATGAAGAATATGTTTCAGAGATTGTCACGGAGGAGTGGCATAAATGTTTTCAAAGTTGTGCATTAACGCTAACGGAGAATATTTTGAGAAACATTAAATTAATTTCTGACCATTTATAATATTTTTTTCTTATTCATTCTGAAAATTTATAGTGCGCCACACGCAGTATACTTTATAGAATTTTAATGACTGTAATTTAAGACATTGATTGAACGCTCGACATAATAATATGTAACACCTTAACCTACCAGTTCATACAATAAATGTTTCTGATTTCTAGAATTTCTTTCGAAGAAATTGTAATTTTCACTCAGTCAATTCTTTTTTAGTTATACTAACTACTTCATTTCATATTTATTATTATCGTTTCCATTAGTAACGATTGTATCATCCTGTCACTTTATATTTTAAATTGTAATATTGTGTCATTGATAATATGAAATAAATAATTCTATTCTATTCATACCGTTATACATACTTTTATATATAAAATTGGCTACATGAAAATGCAAAACAGACGTCGTCTTAGATTAAACCATACTTACCTTTCTCAATGGTGGATAAATATAGTGGTTTTCGGTGCAAGAATTATGCTTGTTGTGTCTCTTCGTCTCCGATTGTTTGTAACCGAAGTCCAATGTAGTTTGGGATCGTGATAAATCTTTGGTTACATTGTAATCCCGGAAATATTCCTTTATTGCGGTAAGCGGGTCTTTCTGTTTGGTATTACAAATATCAAATAATAAATAAATTAATTAATTTAAAAAATACAAAGACTTTTCTTGAACACACAATATTTAAAATAAAATAATCTTTTAAATCTATGTCGAAGAAAAGTTGAACGTCTAAGCAAGTTGCTGGTATTTAGGTTTCACCAGGCAAGTATTCGCCGCTGGACACTCCGCAGCATGTAGAAATGGGTATCTTTACAATTAAATATTACATAAATACGAGGGTAAATCTCATTACGCCTGGCCTAGTCCATTGGTGAAGCGGCATAATATGTATATTAAACAAAAATATGACACCAAAAATTTTTTCAAGTTTGTATTTCCTACTTCTGCATATGATAAATTCTCCAAAATTCAGGGTGTTGTTCTCTTTAGTAACACAAAACTCGTTACTAATAGCGAAATCTATACACATAATGACTGCAGAATGTATGAAATATCTGTGAAGGTCTGTGTACACTTTTTTTTATTAATTGTTAAGTTTAAAGTGAAATATAAAAATATAACCAAATTATAACATACCTAAAAATAATCCATCAAAATAAATAAAATAAGGCCCCTAATAAATATTTAATTAACTAATGGGGTCAGTGGATACGGGACGGGAATCCAAGCCTGCTTGCACGGCCTCACTCGTCTAGGAGGATGGGTCAAGCGATCCTTCCTTTCTTTAGCGCAATACTTCTGGCGAAAACCAAGGCGGCCGAGAGGCATCGTAGTGGTGAATCTTCGAGATCCCACATTACCTGGTCTAGAGGTTAAGCCGAGGGGGTTTTAGTGGGTATGACGTGGGGGACACACTGTGGGGTTAGTACTACATAATCCTTGAGCCTTCCGGACTGGAGGGGATGCATAAAGCATTTCCCCTTTTTTTATAACATCAAATGACGGGACATTCAAGTCGTGGGCCTGATGGTAAGCTACACGCCTGTCCATAACAGTTACAGTGCCACTAAGAGCTTTGAATTGGAAAGATCGGAAGGTCACTACCACTGCGCCTGTCACCCTGAGACATAAGTTGACAAGTCCCATGTGCCTGTAATTTCCCCCTCGTAAACAAAAAAAAGGTCAGAAGTACCAAAATAGACGAGAATATACGAAGAGACTGAATGGAGGCAAAGGTTGATTGTGACCGTAGCAAGTTGAGGTTCATGGTCTCTGCCTATCGCAGTGAGAGTAAACAGCACGTATGTTTAAATTATGGTAAATATTACTTACCAAGCTTTTTAATATTTCAGGAGGTCTTTTCCACCCATGTCCTATGGTCTCACTAGAACAACCGGTATCAGGGAACTTTCTGACTGGGTACTCTAAATTCAAGGGATCCCAATTTATTGTTGAGTATTTCTTAGGATATTGTGCCTGCATTTTATTATTACTAATTATGTTCAGTAATCTAATCTTACTGACAAATTAATGGTTGTTTATTAGCGGCTTGATTTTGTTTGGTAACTAAGCAATCGCGTATTCCAATATAAGTTTGTTACCTTGGTAATGGATTGTGTGCCTTATTCTAACGTTACCACAACTGAGGATACAAAATTGGACTAGAGAGGTGAAAAATCATCATTTAGTCGGTTTTAGTGTAATAAAAAACAGAGTAGGTAGACTATATCAGTCAATCAATGAACTGCATAAGCTTTGTACATCAATATGTATAAAGCTTATGGAATGAATGCTAATGCTAGCTTAAATGCAATCATTTTCCATAAAATGAATCGAAGGTTTATTTTTAAGCTACATTATATTTATTATATTTTACTAATTGTTGAAAATTTAAATACCATTGTCCGTATCTAATGGTGTTATTACAATTTAATTAATTTTAAGAAAAATTTTACAAGCTTGATTTGGTTAAATGTCTGCTCTATCGTAATAGGTACTATGTTCCATTCAAATCAAAGAACGACTGGCAACTATTAGTTGTTTATTTTCTATTATAGCTTTTTGATGCGACGTCTGTCCGGATTTGCGACTATTTTTTTAGTACGTTTTGAGTAGTTGGTAATAAATGGTCTTGATGAGTATTGATGGTTCATATAAGTAATTATTTGTTTGATGAATTTCCACAGGCTGTCCCAATTCTTTTTCTAACAGTGCAGAACACGTCCGGGCGGTGGTCATAATTTTTATTATCTTATTATTAATATCATATATCTTCACTGTAAGTGTGTAGAGGTTAATTTTGTTTGAGACGTGTCACGAGATACTCACGGGGGACGAATGCTTCAGAGAGAATCTGAATTCGTAATCATGTAGTTGCCATAAATACATCAGTCATTAATACTTACAGATACGGTTCGGAATTAATCGTGGTTTCCGATTTTTCCCGATGTGTAATGGCATTAGTATAGATTTTAAAGGGTTATAATGTTACATATTCCGAACCAGCGAACTATTTCAATTTGGTAACGCGTACGTCTGAAGCGGTATAATCCAAATTGATTCAACGGGCGGTGTTTTAAGATGTATTTCTGAATTTACTATGCCTATTAATATGGCTATCGCAAATGTCTATAGGTGAATGTAACCACTTTCAATCAGATCAACTGTTGACTCTTTGCCGGTTCAAAGACTTCGACCAAGATGAAAGGGTAGACATAAATATAAAAACAAAATGTAAATTTGGTAAAAATTCGTTTACTTCTTCACAAGTGACTGAAAATGTTATAAAAACACAATAATATTATATAGGTACGCGTCATATAACTAACGTTAAAATACAAGACTGCAATAAATACGATAAGGGATGTCACCCAATATATTCAGATTATAGGTCTGCCTTATAATACGGGAAATAAAGCCTAGAATACATTTTAATAAAAAAAATGGCAGTGTTTGTGTAGCAAGAGTTGTCTCTATTCTTACAGAGAAAAAAATGTACATTTTTCTTCTTTCAAAAAAAATCAGATAGCTGTATTCAAATGTCTATGATTACAGTGGTTGTAGTATGATTGGACTACATTATGTAATTGTTTCCATTACCGATACTAAAGTCGAGATTTTCCGTTACGAGCACGCTCGAATCGAGTTCGCTCGGATGATTACTCGGACGCTACTCGTATCTTGTAAACACGTAGTCCGATTGCACTCGGTCGTCAACTTAACCGAGTGGACTTATACAGAGATTTATAAAACGAACTTTCAACTAACAAATGCTTAAATTTAGGCAAAGTTCGTTTTGTATGTACAAAAAACTTCTTTAGCTCGCTATCTTTGCTTCGTTTTATAAACTTCAGCCTAAGACGGTGTTCTATTTTTAAAGGACGACTTGGATAAAATCGGCATCAAATGAAAAATCAGCTCTCATCTTGAAAGCTGACGCGTTGGGTGCAAGATAGAAACGTACAAGAAGATAAATGATACTCAAACGCTATTGAACTCGTAACGTGTCAACTGCATTCCAAGTGCAATCCTATACGACTTAGCTTGTATGAGTGCATTCGGTTCGAACTCGCTTGTAACGATAAATCCCGGCTTTTAGTAAAGGCTTTTCACATCTTACAACTACGTTAGTATATTTATTATAAGTTGATTCTGACGATGATAAATTGCTAGATATTACAAAAATATTGTTCACAGTAATAAAGGCAAACTTATTTTATCTGAATCCGTTTTGTTTGATGAATAAATTCTAATTCTAATGGTAAACGTACCGAATTGATCATTACAAAACGAACGCATATTTAATTATTTATTATAGAATACTATCTATAAAAAATTGTTTATTGAATTCCTTTTACGACATGAATGCGTTCGAATTACAATTTATCCATCTGGTTGAGTTCGGTTTAAATACATTTTTACTTACGATTAATATTATAAATAAATTATATTACGCAACGCCTCTACGAATATACAAAATCAATACAAATTCTTACATTACTAATACGAATAACATCACAGTTCATAAACAAGTTAGTTTTTAGAGTTAAAATACCGATACTTCAAAAGTAAAAGTCAGTAACAAGAACTAGAAATGTTTTTAGAGAAATAATACTAAACTTCTTTTTATATTATAGAAAAGAATTTTGGTTTTCTTTTTGATCATTTTAAAATTTTAGGAACATTTACGATTGTTGTGCCTGATTTTAAAATTAGATGCCTTTTAAAGGAAGTTTTTACGTCTTGTTTCGTTCAGAATAAGTCCATTTACAGACTAAGAAAACTCATAAAAAAGTAGTAAATCATTTTTACAACACATCACACGCTATAATAATTAAAAATTTATAAACTCACACACAAATGTACAAAAATTCGGACTTAAAAACGCCGAAAGGATCAGTCAGATTACATATTTTAATGCTAATGGGTAAAAAAGCTACATTATGACACCATTAGTTAAAAAAGAAGCGGGTTTTTAAAATACTGTATTAGCATGTACTTACGAATAATAATCTAGTAGGATAGAATAAGGGCGCCTTCAAATTGGACGCTTATAGAGCCCTGTAGTGGCGCCACAGTGGCGCTACCGCAGCGCCACTACGAATTTTCATATATTATAATATTTAGAAGCGCATTTGCATCGCCACTGTCGTGACACTCGCATGCCACTTTTGCAATCGCAATTAGTGAACTAAAAATTACTGAAGTGCTACAGACACGCGGCTGGCGAGTCACTGCAGTGCAACAAGCATTTAATTTGAAGGCGCCACATAGGCCGCATATGCACTACCTTTAAATAATACTCAGATCGGTATTTTGATATTTCGCGTGACCATGACACATAAACGATCAAAACAATTTCTCAATAAGTATCTATAATACTTAGAAAATGTTTCTACTATTCTATTAAATGTTTTTGAAATATTAAATACAATTTTAGTATTTGCAAAAATATCTATTTTAAATTTAGAATATTTTCAAACATAATTTTCCTTAAGACTTGGTTTTTGTGTGGATTACATAAACTTCAAAGTGTCGCCTTACTGTTAAAATTTACAGAAGAGGAGAAAACCTCCTAAAAAGTTATGCTGCATGAAACGTGAGGTTTTGAAATTTCTCAATAGATGTCTTTATAATCACTGGGGATATGTGAGCCTTTAACATTTAGTGCTTTGAATTTATCAGCTCTTTTATGCTGAAAAAATTGAATTTGATATAGGTTTTAATAGTAGGGTGACGCAACGAAGTAATAAATATGTATATAGTAGATTATATCTCCCTCTGACTTTCCGGAATTATTGTAAGTAATTGTATTGTATTGTATTTTGATCCATATTTTTGATGTGAAACGAGCAATTACATTATTACGGTAGTGTCTATAAGAAAAGTTTTGTAATTCTAAGTTAAAATATTACAATTAAAATTATTAAAAATAATTTCGAGATTCCAGAGGGAGGTATTATGCACTCTATGTGTATTGCTTGAGCTTTAGGTAAATGTACTCTAACTATTCTGATATCTAATAAACATAAGTTTCAGAAATTAAAATATTGATAAAAAAATTCATAGAAAATTTATCAAAAAATTCCAATTTTTTTTGTGTTGGCGCCTAAGTTGAATAACACGATAGCACGATCCATTTCGAATCTGAGAGGAGTGCACACATGACCTAATTATAGAAATCCATTTGGTAATATCGTAGAAAATATCACTCGATTTATTATACTTTAAGATGATAAAAATAGGGAATTTTCAATGTTCAATATCTTTCTAATGACTTACAGATACTGAGCATGTTTTATGACAACCTAGTTTAAGGCAATCGCCGTTTGAAATAATCAAATTATTAAATATGAGATTTCGTATTTACGCCAATTTGTTGTTGCAAAGTGAGTTTGTTTTCAACATTGAACAGGTACTGATCAAGTGTCTATAAAAATTATAACCCACTAAGCTTATTGAAATCAGAGTAATGTAAATAGTGCTTTAGTTTTGGCTTTCAAGTTGCAAAGTTGATACTTTAGTAATGTGTTGCTCCACCCTAACTTTTGCTAATCGCAATATCGAAGGGAAGACAAAGTTTTCATTCTACTTTCGAAACACTTCCTTCGTTTTGTTTTTTAAGGGTAAGATAGCAAAGCTTGTTGTGGCCATGCGATTTTGGCATCTATTCTCTTGTAAGCCAGTATGAAGTTCTGTCCGCTTTTCTCTGACATTACATCTTGGGGGCAATCGTTCTCGTTCAACATGGTCTCTGCAACAAAAAAATAATAAGTGTAATAATAATAATCTTTCTTTGTTTATTGTCTCTTATCAAGGTTCTTACATAAATAAACTTACAAATAGCTTTTTTTTAATTAAAATAGAAAATTTGAATTTTTATTAAAAAAAGAAAAATTTTGGTAAGAGACTGGAGCCCATACTAGGTGTTAACCTGTGTGGCAGATCTCCAGGCCCCCCCCACCTCCGGATACAATACAATA